ATTTTGATGTTTTGAAATGGCTACCAAAATTACACATAGCAAGGGAAAATTATTTTCTGGAAAGAATATTGAAGTGAAAATATAGTATGTAAAGGTAAAACAGAAATCAGAGGTGTTTAATCTACATCTAGAGTTTTGTTTTATTTTGTTTTTTAAGAGAAAATAGAATGGCTATAAGGTGAGTAGAGAAAGTATTGTGCTGGACAAGGCTAGTGAACAAAAATTTAAAATTGAGTAGAAGATATTTAGAAGAGTGAATTTTCCATGCAGAATGCTTATAAAACAGAATAAGCACAGGGACTGTTTGCTAGATAAACGTAAAGCGTGATATTTACTTAGTCATGAAATCCTATGAATTTTTTTTTTAATGCAGAATACTAAGTTCTTAGCAATCATAGATATTAGTTTTTGGCTGTTAGATACCATGTTCTGAATTAGTAACAGTCTTGTTCTTGCTAATGCCAGAGTATGTTTCAGACTAGAATTACTGAAAAAAGAATATGAAGAATTTTTTGTTGCATTGCTGGAGATTGGATACCGTGCCAAGATGGTTGATTTTCTGCTTTATGATTAGTAATTGACTCTTGCTTTATATCTGGATATTTAGCTGGGTTGTTTCAGAAACAAAATTGCTTTTGATTATGAAATGTACCAGTGACTCGGAATTTATTAGGGAACTGACTCTTAAACTCAGAATTTTGTGAACATTTTTATAAACAAATTATTGAAATTGATTTCATGGCTAATATGTATCTTATACATGTATTCAAATGTAGACGAGTACATCTATGACACTGACATGCAGTAGCAGATTCTGACACTAGATACATGTCTAATAAATAATTCTTAAAACATAATTTTTCATTTATAAAATTAAGAAATCCAAATGGTTATTAAAACAGCATCTCAGTGGAAAGAAAAGGTTAATCATTTTATACAGATACTAATGTTTCCTTAAAGTATTTCAACAATGACAAGCAGGAAAGTGATTGTGTTTCTGTTTTATTCCTTTTTTAAATTGCAGATCCATGTAATGAATCTAATAAAACTGGGATTGGAGCCTATTCGAATAGAATGGGTTTATGTTTTAAAAATTAGGGGCAGAAGAGAAAAAGCTTTTAAAAGAAGAAAGCATAAATGTCCACCTCCCAGGATAGTTGTGACCACAGAAGTTAAGAATGACATTTAGTAATGTCACAACTGGGAGCAATAACTGCTCAATTGCAGACTACTCTATTCCCTGTAGGATTTATAGCTTTAACTGCACACCAGAGCATAACAAAATCCAGCAGGACCCTCTGAGCTAGCTCCCTCAGCCCCCTCTACATCTCAGGAACCTGATGCTGGTGACTCAACCTTCCTATTTTTTTTTTCCCTGTTTAGATGTGTGTGTGTGTGTGTGTGTGTGTGTGTGTGTGTGTGTGTGTGTGTGTGTGTGTGGTGTATAGCAAAACATTTGCCATTTCAACATTTTTTTAATGTACAATTCAGTGACATTAATTATGTTCATCATGTTGTGAAACCATCACTGCTACCTGTTTCCAAACTTTTTCATCACCCTTAACAGAAGCTAAGTACCACCTAAATCCTGTTGCTTTTAGTGCAATAGTTCCCCTTAATTCCCAGTCCTTTCTCTTCCCAACGTTACATCCCACACGTTTTTCGATCCTCTCGTGTCCTGCTAGGTGCCTTTCACTTAGAATCCTTCCACATGGCTCCTAGTCATGATGTCTCTCACCCACTCTGGTGTTTGGGGCTGTGAAGATTGCTTCCAAAGAAGTGCATCTGAGGAAATGTTTCAGAAGTCTATCATTGTTGACTCTTAGAACTAGCACCCAGAATGACCCACTTGTAACATCAGCCAGACCCAACAGAACAGAAAGTTGGGACAGAAACACTGACCTCTTCCCCATGGAGGAACACTGAGGGTCCCAGCTCTCTCAGAACTCCCCAAAAGAATCTCTGTGTAGAAAGTGCAGAATAACAACAGCAAGGGACTTTTCGCACATTGGCTTGATGAGTTGTATAAGCTTGGCATCTGTCTTAGACAGACTGGTGTGTTCTTTTTCTTTCGTGTTTACCATGGCGTAATCTCAGTGCCGGCAGTTCCGTGGTCAGCAATGTTGCTGTTTTGACTTCTTCATCGCCAGGTGTTAAGAGCATCCCCTGACATCCCCATTCCAACTGCAGTTATTGATATTAGAATTTTCCAGGATCAGGCTTCTTCCCTATCACAGGACTTCAAAGAAGCCTCGAATTTCTGTCCTGAGCAGGGTGTAAAGGCCAAAACCCAGAACTGATGCTTCTCAGGAATAAGCGTTGAGAGCTGTGGACAGCTCCACTCCAGCCACCACTGGCAGAAGCTAGTTACCACTTAAAATGTGAATCCCATAATACCCAAATTGATAAATTTTTAAAAAAACAGAGTAAATAGGTCCCCAGGCTGAAGAGAGATTCCATTACAATTAGATTAATACATGCCAATTTGTATTTTCAATTTCACTTCATGAATTCTTCAATTAAATTGACCCATTCCACACACTTGTTTTTAACAAGAAAGATTCCGATATAAACATTTTCATTCAGAAGTGTATACAAATTAGTTTTCAATTTCCCAGGGAACTGTCTGATTACAGTTTGAATGGAGTATTCCAAGTCCCTTTCCCTGTGGGGAAACTGTAAAACCACTTTTACAGTTTTAATTGCTACTTTAAACTTCCATTATGTTCAAAATATAAATTTGTAACATGTTTTTCTTCTCAGCGTCTAACTCCAAACTTTTCCTAGGGAGCCATTATCTGAGGGACTACTCTGGGTCCTTACTGGACTCCCTGGGTCTCCAGTGCCTAATGGCCTCCTGTCCCAACCTCTCTCCCAAGTCTCTTGACACCCTCCCCACCTACTCAAGAAAGGAGATTCCTCTCCTAAGCCATGCTAATCCTTGGAGTGTTGCTGGCCCCTTCGTGCAGATAAAGTCCTTAGACCATGATCCTCAACAGATTGCATCCCGCATCACCAAATACCCACATTCCTTTTTCTTAATGCTCTTATGGTTGCTTGTATCAGGAAACCTTATCCTTAAATCTGAAAATTCCCTAGTCTACCCATTTCCTCGGGTCATGGTCTCTCCCCACAGCCTCCTAATCTCCAGCAACCTCTCCCATGGATCCTGTGTGTCCCTCCTAGAGGGCTGTGGGCTGACTGCTGTTTCTAGATTTAGCATTACCAACGTTGAAGTCAGAAATTTCCTTTATCTGTCTTCAAATATTTTCCCACATAAATCCTGTTCTTTATTACATCCCAAAAGGACCCTAGTCATGGTTATCATTAAGTTACTTGGCCAGAATTCCAGCAGATTATTGAACCTGAGAATTCCATTTTCTCAGTTAGCTAACCTGCCACTTCTGTATTTCTCTGGAACAGCCAGAAATTCTGAGCCTGATGAGCTAAGCAAGCGGTTAACATCCCCCAGCCCATACATAGTAGCCAGGGTGTCCACAGAGGATGAGATAGAGTTGCTTTGGTAACTCCAGATACTAAATGCTTTGACTAACGTATATTAACATGCTTACCTTAGCTGAATTTATCAGGAAACCTCCATACTCCCTCTTCCTGTAAGAGTGGATACCTTTTGAGATAGATAACTCCCTGCCAGGGCAAAGCTACACCAGAAGGATCCTCTGTGTAGTCTCAGCCATCCTCACCCATATCCCCAAACTGCAGCTCAGGCAGATTTTTTTAGTCCTCTCCATTTCCGTCATCTCTCCTCCATATCCTCAGTGTGCTTGCTTTCCCTCTCCTTGTCTTTTCTGCTTCCCCTTCCCTTTTCCCCCTCCCCAACTCTCCAAGTCTGTCAGGAAGTTTAAAGCAGAAACAGATACAGGTGGTTCTGACATACATATATGTTTACATCAGGCAAGGTATTGGTTCTTTGCTCCTACAGCGTAGTTCTTGTTAGATAGGGGATGTGACTTACCTTTTAAATTATTCAAAATTCTATGCTCAGAGGAGTCTAAGAGTGTGGTCCGTGAAGAAAATCGTATAAACATCTATGTAGTAGGAGTTAGGGAGAGGTTACTGGTGATCTGATTTACAAGAGGAATTGGTATTTCCATTTTCCAAGAATGTTTGGCTGACAGCATTTGTAATGGTCAGGAAGAACCTTCTATAAGAGAGGGCAGGCACGTCGCTTTCCCCATCACAAGCCTAATCCGGATTCAGCCTGGATAGGGAAGCACCTCTAGCCATTTAGGAAAATCTGTAGTAATATGACTTTGTTTTTACTTCATACTTTTCAGTATTGGCCAGTTCATAAGCCCATGTTCATATATGTAAACAGAGGTATGTAACCTATATAGGTGAACTATAATTTATATAATACATTTAATTTACTAGTATATATTCCAGAAAATCTATTTCAAATTTAATTTAGTCTCTTTAAGCCATTATTTTATCTACTTTTGAACTTGATATGTGTTTTATCTGGTTGCTATGGGGCAAGTAAATCTTTCGGTATATGCCTTTCCTGAATTTTTAATGGTTAGTCTGACTTAAGATCCTGTTCCAGGCTCAGAAAGAAGTGAGCACAGACAGTCCTCTGACACAAGTAGCTGATTTTGTAAGAAAGGTCAGCTGCATCACAGCTCAGACTGTTGTTATTTTTTGTTTGTTTGTTTTCCTGCCAGTTATTTTTTTGATACAACTCTGAGTTTAGAAGTGAAACTGATCTGGGATTCTGCCTTCTCTCCCTGTCATTCTGTAGTCATCACTTTCTGTAACAGAGAAAGACTGGTGGGTCAGAGGCAGTGCTAAATTGACTATGGCAAATGAGATTCCCTCTCCACCCCAGCCACCTGCAAAGTAAACGAGTATAGAGTGTCTCGAGTGTGTCATCTAGAGAGGAATCTATTATTTTGCAGAATGGTAGAGATCTTTTCTATGGAGAAGAAGGGGAAACAATGCACTGTTGCTCTTTAATAATTTATAGCTTCCCCTTCCAGGTTCCGTTCAGCGCTACCATGTCACCGGTCCGCTTGCATTCCTCCAACCCCAACCTTTGTGCAGATGTTGAATTTCAGACTCCCCCCAGCCATCTTACTGACCCTCTGGAAAGTTCAACGGATTATACAAAGCTCCAAGAAGAGTTTTGTCTAATTGCCCAGAAAGGTAACAACAAATGTAACATGCCCTTTAGAGAAGCTCTCTTCTTTGATGAGAGCTTCTTTTATCTTTATCTAGGTCATCATGCTAGAAAGATTAAATGTTTTTCTATACTACTTGGAGTTCTTTATAAAAAATTGCTTCAGGTTCTTTTGCTTGGGTTTTGACCCCCCTTTGGGGTTTTTTGTTTTTGTTTGATTAAGGAAGTTTTCTTTGGGTTGAAAAACGGAGGGAGGAAGGAAGGGTTTTTGTTGGGCGTTCCACCGGTTCTTCTTTTTCGGCTTTTCCTCCCCCACCCAGTGCCTTTTAGTTGTCATTTAATATGTATTTATTGGTTATCCTTAGCAAGGAAAAGAAAAGGAAACAGATTCTGGCTGAGTTTCTCTGTCTCTTTTTTTAAACAGCACTCATTTGATTGTACTTTACAATTTGTGGGTCAGGAATTCAGGCAGGGCTCAGCTAGACAGTTCTCTCCGCATGGAATTGTCTGGGTTCACTTGATGGTATGAGGCTGAGTTGGTCTAGAAGGTCCAAGGTGGCTTCACTCATGTGCCTGGGACCTTGGCAGGAGGGCTGGAAGGCTGCACTCAACCATGCCCCTCTCCCTTTTCATGTTGTCTCAGGGACCCCCTCATGGTCTCAGGACTTCAAGAGACCAGATGTAGAAGCTGCTGGTATAGTTCAAGGCTAGTTCTGAAAGTGGTACAGCATTACTTTCACTGTATTCCGCTGGTCAAAGCATCACAAGGCATCCCCGATTTTAGAGGTTGGGAAAAAGATCCTACCTTTGAATCCCTTTTTTTATGTTAAATTTTCAATAAGGCTTACTGTGTAAGTTCACTTTTCATCATCAGCCACAGAGAGTAGGGTCTAAGAAATAGAGGGTAGATAGTAGAATATAGATGGACTGAGAAGTCCTATCTGTGTTTAAGAAAAAGAGCCATCACCTCCCCCTTACTGCCATAGCATTTAACTTTTAGCCACTGAAAAAAGTTTGTTTGTTTTTTTTAATTAAGATAGTAACCTTCCTAGATACTGTCTTTTAAAATGTGTAACCTCCGGTATGTTGTTTTTGGTCTCTTAACTTTATTTATTGTGAATTAATCATATTTCTTTCCCGTGGGGCTGCTGGTAATAGGCTATAAAATATTCTTGAAAATATGTGTTAAACGGAACATCTCTAACCAAAAGCCCATTGCCATCGAGTCAATTTTGACTCATAGCGACCCTATCAGACAGAGTAGAACTGCCCTTAGCAGCCGAGCTCTTAACCACTATGCCACCAGGACTGGAACATCTCCAGTGCCCCCTTATGCCCCAGTGCCTGGTGGCTCAGGAAAAGAAGGGGCACACACTGGGAACCTCTCTGGGAATGTTGAACCAACAGAAATTTACACTCTGAAACCATCAGCAAAGATGTGCTATCAGTAATTTTCTTTAATTCAGTAGTCCTAAAAAATTAAGCTAAATCATCTTACCCTTTTTTTCCATAGATTTCTCAGTTGGGATTGTGTACAGCCACTTCTCCCTCTTATCTGCCGTTTTACTCCAGTTCATTTTCATTGCATTTCTTAACTGGGTGCCAGCTATGTTATTAGAGTAGAGCAATGTTCTTTTGTTTATGTAACAGGATAGATTTATGGCCAGTGAATCCAGTAACTCTTAATTCCAGCAGAGGACGCCAGCTAGAATGAGACAACAAAGGTGTGTGTTGAATATAACACAGCTGCTAAAGGGAGATGGGTAAATCTGAAGGCAGTTTTGTGTATTTGGTTGCAATCCTGAAGCTTTCAGGAAATTCAGATTTCAACAGTTTTAAAGCCTCTATTGAAACTGCATATTTTCTTTTCAACAGATGCACAAATTCTTTATGCTAAGTGAAAAAGGAGCTTTTCTATGACTGTTAAGTGAACTCTTTAGATAGAATTATGAATTTTAAAACGGGTCAAGACTCTGCTTTCAGAGCTGCAGTAGGGTTAACGTATTCAGTTATCGAGTTATTACCTTTAAATTGATTACAACTGGAATGTAACCAATACATCAAGAGATTGTGAATCCCTCGTGATGCTGCCATTCCCCCCGCCCCCGCTTTAATTCAGACTACTTCTTTTAAAAATAACCCTTGAAAAGGAAATTCCTACTTCAGAAGACTTTGTATTCTATAGAAACTCTGATATTGTAAAGATAGCAGTTGGAAAGTCAACCTTTTTGTATTTCAAAATTAAAGACTGCCACAGGTTTTACTAATGTGGGTTGTTAGGTATGCAAGGATTGGGGGAGGGGGTTGTTGTTTTTATTGTTGCTTTTAAATCAAAGCACTTCTGGTATCAACATATTCCTTGCTGTAAATAAGTAATTTAAGTGCTGTTCTTAAGACCAAATCATTTCCTACCTCAAAAGAACTAGTCAGAACTTCTGGATCAGCTGCCTGTTTTATGTTGGCAGGACTCATAAAAATGCTCTTTTGGGGTGCATGCTTTTGGGAAATAATTTCTGGATAGTTCTAAATTATTTACACGAGACTTCATGATACACAGAACTTCTCAAATATCGTCAGGTATGACAGAGTAAAACTTGTTCTCCTTTTCCTTCTAGGATTTATAAATTAGTTTCTAAATATTGATATTTTGAATTGATATTGGTATTTTCTGTGTTACTTTCAAATCTTTGTTGCCTTGTCTGGTATGAAATGCTAAAAATACCACCCTGATTAATTACCACTACCATATTTATTAAGGACCCCTGCTGGCTCAGTGGTTAAGCGTTTGGCTGCTAACTGAAAGGTCCGCGGTTTGAACCAGCCAGCCCCTCCATGGGAGAGAAGATGTGGCAATCTGCTCCCATAAATATTACAGCCTAGGAAACCCTGTGGGGCAGTTCTGCTGTGTCACATTGGGTCGCTATGAGTTAGAATCAACTCAACGGCGCTCAACAACCATATTTGAGTATAGATATTCTGATAGATTCAATTATAAGGCTAAATTTTAGACGATTAACATAGCCTTCTATGTATGAGCTAAAGTTCTGAGAAGTTTATAATTTTGTATATTCTTTCTGGATACATTTGATAGTTGTTTCTCACTTTTCTCTCAACCCTAACTGCATCCCCACGCAGTGCATTCTCTGTTGAAGTCTGCGTTTAACAGCATAGCTATAGAGAAGGAGAAGCTTAAGCAGGTGGTTTCTGAGCAGGATCACAATAAAGACCACAGCACACAGATGGCTCGGCTCAGACAGTCACTGTCTCAGGTAAACCCAAGTGTTTGTTTTCACATGAAAGACGTACTCCAACCCTGTAAGGCCGAAGAAGGGGGAGGGTCAGCCATGGGTGTGGCTCATTCATCTGAAATCCTCCCAAGACATTGAGGTGTCAGTATTAAATGTTATTGTATGTTTTCTACAAAAAAAAAAAAAAAATCAAGGTAAGAGGAAAAATAAACCAAATTTGCTTGCAAACATATAGTTGGTTTTTTGGCTGATTGAATACTTAATGCCTATCTTAAGGTCATTTATAAGGCCGTCCCTGGCTTTAAAAAAAATAATCATGCATGTATACGTGATTTATATATCTCAAATATGTTCCAGAATATATGTTCAGTCCAGCATTATATAGAACAAAGTGTATAGATATTCCACATGTAATACTTTCCCTCTTATTACGCATATTAATCTGTTAGAAATTACTGATTACTACTACCCACCTCTTTTTTGATTTGTAGTCTTAGGATTTCCTTCCTTTCTAAGTTATGCTACCTGAAGCTCAATTTTTATATTTCAACATACACACTTGATTCTGTGTTACCAATCAAATCCCTATATATATATATAGCAAAGTTGAAATTTCTAATGAAAGTTCTTTAAAGTCACACCTTAAGCTTTTCCATTTCCTCTGAAGTAAATATTTTCATCATTTCATCGATAAATGCACTTATTTTAATTCCTTTGGGAATTCAATGTTGTTATGTGATTTTTATGTGAGAACTCAGTGTTTATATAAAATATTGTTCACTTCCTGGTGCCTTGGACCAGAGTGAAGGAGCAAGCAAATCCTGGGTAAGTGGTTCTCCGTGTGGATCAGATCCTGCTTGAATAGTTTTCTTCAGTCCCTATAAGTTACACCTAAACTGTATAACCGCATTTGATGTACCTGAACTGTCAGCTTATTTTCCATGTTAAGCTTCATGTTACTGGGTGCTGTTATCTGGGTCACACTTTCTGTGTCCACTGTAAAATGCTGTCAGTTGAGGTGTATACGCTGCTTCCAGTGCAAAACCAGGGGCTTTGGGAGCATGAGCTAATATTAAAAGTGGCAGCTATTCTGCCAGTTTGCAGAAGGCTTTATTCGTAAGAATGCTTTAATGGTTTTTCCTGTACTATTCTTATGACACTTATCTGTTGAAAGTTAATTGATCACACATCACAAAGATCAAAATAATGGTCAAATAAGCATGCAAATGTCATTTTGTAAACATATAAAATATGCTCTTGTTCCCCTAAATGTTGCAGTGTTGCCTTCAGGCATATTGAATGATGGCAATTTAGTGGTATTAGTCAAGCTTGTGCTACGAAAACTGAGAAACTTTGTTGCTTGATTTTATTTGCTGGTTGGTAAGACTGGGAATGGTGTATAGAGATCCAGATTTGGGCTTCAAGTGAGATTAGAAATGATTAAGAACAGAAATTTTAAAGCAGTTATTTATTTGTTTATTCGTTTTATTTCATTCAGCTGACTGTGCTAGGTACTGTGCAAGGTGATGAAAGCAGCCCTGGCCATGTTCACAGGAAGCTCATGGCCTGATTAGTGAGACGAACAGCATTTACTCAGGAAACAGTTCAGTGAACCACACAGAAGTCCATTCAGAGCACAGATGAGTGGTGCAGATTTCCAGGGCTCTGTTTGTTCAGAAGAGTGGGAGGTCCCTAAACTGACAGCAGGGCCACAGATCAGGCTTCATGGAGGAACTGGACCTTGAATTGGGCCTGGGCAGACAGCAGCAGCTCCCAAAGCAAGAGCTGATGCTACCGTGATAAGAGTAAAATAAAGCAAAAGCAAAATAATATCAATTGTGTATCTTTGGGTTAAGTATCTCCCTCTCTTATCCACATGTATTTATTTGCATCTAGAGTTAGACCCTCAATAAATTTTTGTTGATGGTTTGGTTTTGTTTTGTTTTTAGTTGTTATATTTAGGTTTTTTGTTTTTGTTTTTGTTTTTTTGTTGTTGTTGTTGTTTTGACCAAAAAGCTCAATTTTATCCTCAAAAGGCAGAAGAGTAATTTGGCACTATTCCACTACAGAATTTAGTGCTTCCAGTTGCATGTTTACATTCTGGTGTCTGTTCAGACCCTCCCGTTGGCCAGCTATACCCTCACTGGCCATCTATTCCCATCACCTCTGAGGCTAGACTCTATTTTTGGGAATCATCTCAGCCAGCCTTTACTTGAGCATTTAGGTTGACTGACAGCTCACTCCTTCCTAGTGAATCACTATCCATGGTTAGACCACTGGAGAGATGTCTGGAGAATGGCAGGTCATTCATAGAGGCTGAAACTAGGAGTGAACAGGGAAGAGTTACTCTAGAAGCAGCTGGTGTAGTTAGACAGGAACCAGCTCATCAGGGACCACACAAAGGAGTTTGGATTTATCTTACCGTCATTAAAAAAAAACCCAAAAACCAAACCCATTGTCATCAAGTCGATTCCAACTCATAGTGACCCTATAGGACAGAGTAGAACTGCCCGGTAAAGTTTCCAAGGAGTGCCTGGTGGATTCAAACTGCTGACCTTTTGGTTAGTAGCCATAGCTCTTAACCACTACACCGCCAGGGTTTCCTATTGTGATAGGGAAGCCTTAAAGGATTTTAACTGGTGAGTGATAATGCCAGAAATGGGAAATATTATTGTGTATTTCTGCATACAAGGGAGCCATGGTAACACAATGATTAAGGCACTTGGCTGCTAACTGAAAGGTTGGCTGTTCGAATCCATCAAGCTGCTCCATGGGAGAAAAGACCTAGTGATCTGCTCCTGTAAAGATTACAGCCTAGGAAACTGTATAGGGTAGTTCTGCTCTGTCCTGTAGGGTCTCTGTGAGTCGGAATCAACTCGATGACACAGCAACAATTTCTACATGTTAGAAAGATTACTCTGGTATCATGTGGAAGATCAATGGAATGAAGGCAAAACTAGTTAGAAGGCTATTATGATAGTCCAGAGATGTATGTCTAAACTAAGTCAGTGCCAGTAGGGTTTGAAGACACCTAGGAGGGAGAATCATCATGGCTTGGAGATCAGCTGTATTTTGGAGAGAAATGAGAAAACAGAGTCAAGGCTAATTTCCAGGTTTTTTACTTGGACAACTGTGTAGGCAACTTGATACACAGATCTAGAGCTCAGGAGAGTGGTCTGGGCTAGAGAGAAGGATGTAGATACCCTAATATGTAGATGAAGTTACAGGTACTGATGAATTGTGTATTGAGTCAGAATAAAAGTGAGCCAGTGGTGCTGCCATGGGGAAGATTAATATTTAAAAGACATGCTAAGAGAGAGACTCTTTTGGTGAAGACCTAGGGATAGCAGCCAAAGAATTTAGAAAGCAAAGACCATTGAGATCAAGGGTAAAGAGTTTTGATAGTCTCAAGAAGGAAAAAGTTAACAGAATCCGATTTAGTGGCAAATAATATATGTACTTTAAAAAAAAAAAAGACACCTTGATTTTGGCAGTCAGGAGGGCATATTTCAGAAAGTTGAGGGAGGAGCTAAGATGGGGCTGTCCAGAGTCAATGAATGGTGAAGAAAAAAATTTCTAGGATTGGCTTATTTTTCTAGAAGTTTGGTTATATAAAGAAAAGGAGAGAGAATGTACAACCTGGTAGGGTGATTGAGGTTAGAATTATCTCAGCATGCTTATTTCATAAAGGGAAGGAGTGAGGTAGATCAGAAGACGTTGAAGATGAGAAAGGGTTTAGATGGAGCCATCCTGGTTGGCCAACTCGATTTTCAGTGTCTCTCTCAGTACAGCACTTGGGATTGAACAAAATATGGAATAGCTTGAGTAAATGGAGACAGTTTCTTCCCATATTCTGAATATGCTTTTATATTAGTATAACTTCAGATTATAGTGTGATTTTAGGTAGTCTAAAGGTATCCTTGGTCCATATTCAAGTGTCATTAGTTAAACCCCAGATATTATTCTCATGACCTGTTGCCAAGCCCAGTCTCCTCCAGAAAGGGAAGGAGGGAGAGAGAAAGTGTGTTTAAATAGTTTCTTAAGGTAGTCTAATGTTTTTAAAGTTACATGTTTTTATCTGACATAAGTCCTACTTGATGTATGTCTAATGATTAAAATGCCATTTTTCAATAAGGGTTTAAGTATATCAATTTAGCAAATTCCGTCGTCCTTTCAGAAGGAACATAGCATATAAAATATATGAAATCAGCATTCTTCACTACATGCTTACCATAAATTGTTACCTGCCTGGGACAAGTGAAATTTGCAGTGCTGGACATTCTAATAAATCCCTGTTTTAAAGTAATATTTTTTCCCTGATCTATATATACATAGACATAGACATAATTCTGTTATTTTACCTCCATGAAACTTTGAAATTCACTTTCACACCTGAGAGGCGGCATAGATGTTAGACTCAAGCATGTAGGGCAGGGCATTTTATGTGGCATCTATTCCTTTATAAATGAGTTTATTCTACATCAGTATAATTTCATGTCCCATTTAATGTCATACCCTGAACATGAAAATCAGATAGTATATAATAAGATTAAGGCAGCCTCAGCGTAGCATAATAATTAGCATAATAATAAAAGTTTTAATTTGACTTGAGTCTATCTTCAGTACTTTATACTTAATCACTGTTTACTGGTTTAATTTCTGGTCCTAGAATCTGTGCACAGCTTATGCTAAACAAGAGGAAGTTGGGTCCATATAAATGTGAGCAGCAGGATATGATCCCTGTACTCCAGCTAGAAATACCATATTTCGTTGAATCAGTATGCCCTCGATTGTAAGATGCACCATCATTTTGTGTACCACTAAGTCCCTGGAGAAGGCCATCATTCTTGGTAAAGTAGAGGGTTAGCAAAAAAGAGGAAGACGCTGAATGAGATGGATTGACACAGTGTCTGCAACAGTGGACTCAAACATAGCAACGATTGTGAGGATGTTGCAGGACTGGACAGTGTTTTGTTCTGTTGTACATAGGGTCACTATGAGTCAGAACTGACTTGATGGCA